CCGGTCCTCCGTGGTTCGGGGTCAAGCCTGCAAGGCAAAGCAAACAGAGAACCCTATGAACCAACTAGGTCCCGTGAGATAGAAGCACATACGATAAAATATTAGGGGCGCGGTTGCCAAACGTTAGGTCAGCTGATCCTGAATTAAGTTGTTCGTGGGTACAATTGGAAAACTATGTCTTAGGGATTTCAACAGGTGCTTACCGACGATTACCCGTTTCCTACCCCCGGGGTTTTGATAAATAGGTTCTCTGAATAAATCACAGTTTACATGCATTAGTTGTAAGGTTTCAGCCCAGTTATATTTCTTTTGTCATATTTTTATTTTCAAGGAACGATCGATACTTGGTACTGGACTACTGTGAAAGAGCTGAAATTCAGGCAGAAGTGCAACGATTGGGTGAAAGTTCCTCACCTCGATCGAACAAACCATCTGCGGCGGCAGCGGATGATTCGAAACTGACCGCGGTCACCGCGACATCTCTGGGCAATCGTCCGACTAGTGAAAAATTCCGTACTCGATCCGGGTCCCCAATACACACTTACGCGGTCCGACCACGTCGTCCGAAAACTACGGTCGATTTTCCCCGTGTCCCCCCAGTCTTGTCAGCCCGCGGAGATAGTTCGGCTCCGCCGACCTCGGGAACTGGAACCAAATTTCGTCCGGTTGGTCTGGCTCGTTCAGGTAGTAGTTTGAGTAGCTATCACATTGATCATCATGTGAAACTGAGTCCATTCAGTCGATCTCCACCGGGAGAACAGGCCAAAGCGGAAGCGTTACACCTTGTGCTCACAGCCAGTCAAAATGGACCATCCACCGAAATGACTCTGCTGCCTAAAGATGCGTAAGTTTTGCTTGTATCATTTGCATCAAAGCGGCTTGCTACAATTCCTTTTGCATCTCAAGTGGCTCTACAGTATGAAATCAAGTTGTGCGAATATCGGTCCAAGTTATCGCGCCATCGTTTCAAGGCTATCCGCTGACTGCATCAGAATGGTCGAGGTCTCATTGGGATATCTGTGTGATCAAAATTCACTGTGAGATTGATCAATATATTGCTGAATTGCAACGGGGGTGGGGTGGGGTGGGCGGGGCT